CACACCCAGAGCTCAGCCCAGGGGCTGGGGCTGCAGAAACGCCGTGCAAGGAGCAATGGCACATCCAGGGACACAGGGACAGACACTGAGCACCTCCTGCCTCAGCCTCTGCTCTGCAGAAGCTCTTTTCTTGCTGCCAGCCACCTGCAAAAGCACATTTCTTTCGGCCCCAGCAGAGCCCAGGTCAGATCCACCTGTTCCATCAGAGCAGGGCTGCTCCCTGAGGCAGGTTTTCTTTCTCTGCAGCTTTTCTGAGCTCTCTGCTCTTGATCTCTGTCTCGCTGTCTGCAGCCCCCCGGGGCTGTCTGTGCCAGGCTCTCTCCTGCTTGCCCTAGACCTGGTATCACAGGCTCTGGAGCTGTTTTACCTCGGATAAACCCTTCCCGTGGTTACCAGAGGCTGCACACAGGGAGCTGTGAATGAGGTTAAAACGAGGGGAAAACATCCCTGTGGAAAAGTGCCTCATTTCCAGGCACTCCACAGGCTTGAATATCCTGGAGGTGCTGCAAGGCTCCCTTTCCTCAGAAAACCCACAAGCCCCAAAGGAATTAATTCATTCTCAGTTCAGTCACTGGCTGTCCCAGGTCCTTTGGGAATGCTGGAAAGCATCACTGCCAGAGATTGGAGACAAACCCAGGCAATGCAGCCCAACCTCTGAGAAAAAATCACCCACAACCTCTGCTACCAGGCAGGTTTGGGTATCCTAATACACAAGCACATCCATCAGGGCCCCTGGAATAGACCAGATCCATCTTTGAGCTCATGGGATGGCTCACCCTCAAGGGCACATTTACACCCACAAATGGCTTCAGATACCCTTGATGCCCTTTTGGGCATGAGGACACGGTGGAGACCCCCCGGCACCTCTGCCAGCAGGAACCTGCTTCCCTCAGCCCTTCAGCTCCTGATGGGACATTTCCCACCAACTCCTTGAGCACCACAAAACTAAATGTTTTGGGCTTGTGGGGGGTTTTTGTTTGTTTGTTTTTTTCTCCAGGACGCAAGGACTTTGGGGGAAGCAGGGAATTCAGTCGTGTCCCTGTTAGGAACCTGCAGGGGCTGGATTAGCAGCTCGGCTCCAAAATCTCCTTTTCCCTGAGCACCTGGAGGGAGCTGAGCTGACTCCAACCTCACCGTAGGACACTGGAGAAAAGCTGAGTTAGCAGGGCTGTGTTAATTACCCCCTGAGCGGCTCCTCCCAAAGCTTTCGAGACTGTGAAATGGCCCATCTGCTGCGACAGAGCTCTCATTGTCTTAATCACACGACACGCTGGTGACATTCCGCCCGGAGCCGGCGACAGCGACCGAGCCCTCGCTGCTGGCCAGGAGCGAGGCACCGATCACAGGAGCTCAGTGCCCTGCCAGCCGAACCAGCTTTGGTGCTTCCCCAGGGGATAACTCAGGAAAAGGAGGTGGAAAAAATAAGGTTGGAACTGGAGCAACCAGGGCACGGATGTCCCCGTTGTTACTCAAAGTAAAGTGTGGCCAAAGAGCCCCCGTGTGGGGTGAGGGATATGTGTGCGTATTTAGCAAGAAAATCCTTTAGTACATAAAGATTAAGGTAGCTGAGTGTGATGCTCCCACAGCCCAGCTCATCTGGGCATCCCTGCTGGGTTTGGGATGGACTTTCTTGTCTCCAGGAGGATGAGGAGCCACACGTGGCTGTGTTTGCCACAAACCCCGTGCAAGGAGAGGAAACAACAGCCAGGTTGCCAAGATCTAACAGAAATAAAAGGGGGGAAAAAAAGAAACTTGGTACAGCCTACTTTATTGGAGTCACCAGGGGCATGCAGGAATGGTGGAAATGGATGTTTGGCCCCATGGATCCCTCCCCAAGCTCAGAGCAGCCTGCGGGAAAACCCAAGAAACTCCAGCACCCTCTGTGCCATGAGAAGGGAAAGGCAGCTCCAAGGACATCAATTCTGGCAGGAGGAGGTGGGCAGGGTGGGGAAAGCGTGGGGGGGATTCAGTGGGGCTGCTGTCCCTGTGCCCAGGGTGTCACAGAGGGCCACAGGTCTGTCTGTGCTCACTGGCCACCAGGCCATGTCACTCCCAGCCACTGCTGGTGCTCCTGTTCACCCTGCAGGAAGACTGGGAGCAGGAAAGATCAGCACAGAGCACCCTTTCCCTAAAAGCCAGACAAGCCACCAGGACCCAAGTCTCCCAGACAAGAAGCCAAGAGACAGGAGACTCGGTAATTAATGGGAGCTCTGCAACTCCAGCTTAATTACAGCAAACGGTGGCTGCACCCTAGGAAGCTGGAGCCATGAATAGCAAAGGAAGCACCTGGAGAGGGGGAAGCAGGGAGGATGTTCGTGTCCCAGTGCCACCCCCAGCAGACAGGTTGGCTAATAGGACACAGCTCTGGCCAGGATTTTTCTGCAAGGCAGAATAAATGCAATTGGAGAGTCTTTATCTGAGGCTGCTGTAGCTGATCCTTGTTGCTGTTATCAGGGCTCTTATCAGGGCATTTGGCTCAAGACCCTGTCACAGAGCAGGGGCAGAGCTGCTCACACCCAGCAGAGGTTGGGGGAAGATGGTTAATTGGTTCATTCTGTGGTTAATGCCACCTTGCTCCCAGGCTATAGGAGCCTTTCCACAGGGGGTGAAAGGGGCAGGGGATTTATACAAAACAGTCACAGAACCCCAGAATGGTTTGGATTGGAAGGGACCTTAAACCTCATCTTGTTCCAAACCCCTTCCACTGTCCCAGAGTGCTCCAAGCCCCGTCCAACCTGGCCTTGGACACTTCCAGGGATCCAGAGGCAGCCACAGCTTCTCTGGGCACCTGTGCCAGGGCCTCACCACCCTCACAAGGAAGAATTTTTCCCCAATATCCCATCTAACCCTGCCCTCTGTAGTGAGAAGCCATTTTCCCTTGTCCTGTCACTACAAGCTCTTGCCCAAAGTTCCTCTCCAGCTCTCCTGGAGCCCTTTTAGGCACTGGAAGGGGCTCTAGGACACCCCAGACCTCTCTTTTCTCCCAGCCAGCTCTCCCAGCCTGGCTCCACACAGCACAACACACACAAGTGAAAACTACAAGAAAATAACAGAAGCTTTCAAATAGCAGAAAATATTCCAGCCCTGGGAAGAAAACTTATTCAAACAAGAAAGCAGAAAGGAACAAAAGGGTCTTACCCATATTCCCATATAAACTTTTAAGGAAAAATAAAGCACTACAACAAGGTGAGAATGCTGAACTGCTGTGAGGGGGTAACAGATCCAGCAGTGGAATTTAACTCCATTCCTCTGCTTCCTTCTTCATCCTCAGCCTCACAGGGGGACTGGATCAGTAACTCATTAGCAGCCCAAGGGCATTTATCATTAACAGGCCAGCAGCAGGAATTGTGCTTCCCAAGGTGCCTGGGTGGGCAGCCTGGCCCCCACTGCTTCTCACCCTCTCCACTCCACCTGATTCCAGCGTCTCACAGATGGGCAGGGCTGAAAAATGTCTGAGTGATGCCTCACATGCTTCCCTCCCTTTCCACCACTCTAACAAGAGCCAAAGGATAGCAGCCCAGCCTTATGTTCCCAAATTCCTGAGCCCTCATCGATATCATAATTGTATAACTGCAGGAAACCAGGCAAAGCTGGGGGTTTCTGTGTTTTAAAGCAAAGGTCAAACAGGATCTGGTGAATGGCTGAGGTGCAGCCTGGCATGGCAAGGGCTGACCAGGAGAGACCCCACAGAAGAGATCACAGAATTATGGAATCATTTGGCCTGCAAAAGTCCTCTCAGATCGTTGAGTCCAAGCATTATTCCACATCTACACTGGTGATTCCACCACTGCTCTGGGCAGTCTGTGCCAATGCTTGACAATCCTTCCCATGAGATTTTTCCTAATATCCAACCTAACCTCTCCTGGTGCAACCTGAGATTGTTTGCTCTTGTTAACCGGGAGAAAAGACCAACCCTCACCTGCATCCTCCTGTCAGGGAGCTGTGGAGAACTGAAGACAGCAATTCCTCTGAAGGAAGAGAGACAGCATGAGACAGGCACAGGAAAGCACCTCAGAATCCCTTCTTTTGGGGTACTTAGCCATCAGTTTGCAGCACTGGACACTTGTCTGAATTGCTCCCAAGACTTCTACAAGGTCTCACTAATAAAATAAACAGGGTGCAGTCAATGTGCCCATCACTGAGCCAGGTCAGCATTCCTGCTCTCTTTGAAGGAGCCGCAGCAGCTCAGCACAGCCCCAGAGGAACCGACCTTCCCCCTCAGTGCCCAGCTGGAATTTGACCTGCATTAACACATCCAAAGTACCCACACGTGTCAATACATCAGCCTGGTGTTTCCATTAGCATTAAGGAAAGCACCTGGTTTTATCCTTTCAAGTCAATGAAGCCTCCAAAGTCCTTGGAAGTTTGTCTCCAACATAGAAACGGTGTCAACAAAGGTTAATTTTCACTTGTGAACACGCCAAAAGCTTTACACTCGTTTGTAGGACATGATGGAAAGATGAAACCAAACAGCCTCGAAATGCTCATCAGTTCCACCACTGTTTTCTTGGTAACAGGTGAGGAACTGGGAGTCTCTGGGGCTGGGAGCTGCTGCCTGGCATTCCACCCACACCTGCCCAAGGAGGGCTGGGAAAACAAACCTGGACAAGTTCAGCTCTGCTCTGTGGCACAGATTTTAGCTCATCCACGCAGTCAGGGCAGGCAAGAAACCTCAAAAAAAACCCCCAAGTTTACCTGTGATGAGCTGGTTTGGATTTTACCAGCTGGAACCTACATCCCCCACAATATTCCCAAGTCCAAGAGGCACAGAATGGTTTGGGGTGGGAAGGATCACCTCATTCCAAACCTTGCCATGGCAGGGACACCTTCCACTGTCCCAGGCAGCTCCAAACCCCATCCAAACTGGCCTGGGACACTTCCAGAGATCCAGGGGCAGCCACAGCTGCTCTGGGAATCTGTGCCATGGTCTGAGCAAGTCCCTGTTGCTCCCTGACCATATTTAAGGACACAGTTTAGAAGACAAAGGGGCAGCACATGAGCATTTTTAGAAAGCTCACACAAAACAAGTTTTTATTCTTTGTCGCAGAAAATAAATACAGGTGCATATTCCATATGCTTTTCTATAAAAGCACTCCTACAAAATCACTGGACTGCATACAACAGTACGACCTTTTTGGCTTTTAAAATGCAAATATTATACAGTCACTTCATTGTATTATCATTTAAAGCACTTGTAGCAAGCAGCTTTGGAAAAGGAATGCTTAATTTAGAAGCCAAATTCTTGCCTCAAGTGTTTTGTGGGATTTTTCCATCGTGTATAGTGCAACTACCCTAAAAGCAACTAGAACAGTTTTTCTGTAAAACGTTTATTCCCACCAACCCCCCAATTTCAAAAAAAACCCTGCAAAGGAAAAAAAAAAAGGTCTCAAAAACTGTTCTACCTTGATACTTAAACCAAGAGAAAACAAGAAGTGGCTCAATGGAAATATTAAGGTAAGCACAACGCTTCACAGCTCGTTCTCTGTTCGCTTCCAGTTTGGCCCGGGTGTTTATTTAGAGGAATGAGCTTTAATCATCCACTCCTATATTCCTGAAAAGGTAGGACATGGACTCCCCGTTGTGGATCCTGCGAATGGCTTCTGACAGGATCATGCTGATATCCACAGTCTTGATTTTAGGGCACTGAAGTTTTTGTATTTCATGTGGAATCGTGTTTGTAACAACCACCTACAGGAAGAAGAAATGGTCAGGAAGATGTAGCTCTTTTGTTTTCCACCTTTTAAACTGGAAGGGTGAAAGGGAGTTTTACAGATCCCACAAAACCACCCTGGCTGACAAAACAACATTTTACATTACAGTCAGGGTGACAGTGTCAGGAAGGGCCGTGTGTTGCCATATGTTCCATGTATCCATGGATACTGATGGCACTGTCCCTCCTTCATTCCTTCATTCCTTCATTCTGCCACACAGATCCACAGGAGGTACAGAAATACCCCACCCACTGAAGAGAAAGATGTGCTGACTCTGACAGTCCAGCATCTCACCCCTTCCCACATTTCCCACTGCTATAAAGACACGTGCATGCCAATATTCCAGCACACAATTCCATAGTGAGAAAGCCTGAAGCAGGAACCTCCCATCTAAATCCTTAATGCCAGCATCTGTCAAGAATCAATTCAGGAGAAAATGGCTTTGAAAAGGCCCAAATGCCTGCTCAGAGCTGACACCCCACAGTTACCTCATCGATGGCAGACTCCTCGATCAGCCGGGGAGCATCAGAGGACAGCAGGCCATGGGTGGCCATCACAAAGATCTTGTAGGCCCCTCTCTCCTTGAGGGTCTCAGCTGCAGCCAGGAAGGTGTCAACGTCATCTATGATGTCATCCTGCCAAAATCCCAGAGTCACTGAGGGTTCACCACATCAGACAGACCAGCACAGCTTTAACAAGTGTAACAAACCCCAAAGTACCTCAAACTATCAGAAAATTGTTCTTTTCCTTGACAAACCCAGAGGTTACACTCTGCTTTAGAGAAAAGTGCATCAAGGAATCACAGAATGGCCTGGGTTGGAAGGGATCTTAAATATATCTCATTCCAAGCCCTGCCATGGGCAGGGACACCTCCCTTTAGAGCTGGTGGCTCTGAGTTCCACACAGCCTGGCCTTGAGTGCCTCAGGGATGGGGCAGCCACAGCTGCCCTCACAGGGAAAAATTTCTCTCTTATATCCAATCTACCCTACTCTCCTGTAAGTCTGAGGCCATTCCCCCTTGTCCTGTCACTGCAGGCCCTTATAAATAATCTCTCTCCATCTTTCTGGCAGGCTTTCTTCAGGTACTGGACAGCCACAATTAAATCAGCCCAGATCCTTCTCTTTTCCAGGCTGAACAATCCCATTCTCTCAGCCTCTCCTCATACAGAGCTGCTCCATCCCTCTGATCACCTTGGTGGCCTCCTCCAGACCTGTTCCAGTAACTCCATGTCCATCACCTCAGCTTCAGTGGCATTTCCAAACCCAGCAGTAGAACTGGGGGGTTCTCCCCTCCTCCTGTGGGGTGCATGCAGCACCTGAGCCCCTCCAGGTAAGCTCTGAACAGAATTCCCCCTGCTCTGCTCAGGGACACAAGGTCCCAGTGCTGCTCCCAGGCAGCTCTGAGTGTGCTCAGTGCTGCCCCATCCCATCAAAGTCCAGCAGCAGCCAAAGTTCAGAGGCTGACACAGAACAGCTGCCTGATTTCTGCAGCTTTGACATGTTTGATGTAACTGATGAGAACTGATGGCACCTCACTCACCACGATGATAGCTATTCTTCCTCCTACATCTCCAACAACTGTGATGGGTGGCTTTTCCTTGGGAATCAGCACTGGTTAATGGCAGATGTTTTCAGAGGGGGAGAAAGGAGAAAGAAAAGAGGAAGTTTATATAATTTATTTGAACTATGTAAATGTCTGATGGGTCACCACTATTAGAGACATGAAGCAGCAACTATTTCAACATCACTACTGAATGAAAACCATCAGGATTCTAATATATAAATATTTTAAGCTTAATTAAAATATTAACTATATTAATTTATACCTGAATTCTTTACAATTCAATTAATTCTTAATTTCAGCACAGAAACAGAGTGGCTTGCAGACACAAGCAGTTCAGACACCCACAGTGGGTTTATGCCCTGCAGTTCTGGTGGTGCAGCTGAAGGTCACATCCACACTCAAGCAAGAAGGAATCCATAGTATTTGTAGGGAACCCCCAACGAGGGGGAGAGAAATCATGTATTTGATTTTATTTTATTAGAAGGCTAATTATTTTATTATACTATTTTATTCTATATTATATTACATTGTGTCTGAACTGAATCTGCTAAGCACTTAACTTTGCACAAAACTGCACAGAACTTGTGACTGTCAGCCAACAGTCCCAACACACACACTCTTGGCCCTGATAGGTTAAGGAAATAAAACATCCTTACTTTGGTAAACAATTTCTATATTGCATTCTACTTTTGCACAAACACAGGCACAGCAAACGATAAGAATTATTTTTCCTTTCTCTGAGGTTCAGAGAATATGAAACCCATAAATTTCCTTGGGAAGAACTGTGCCTTGCTTTTCTCTTTGAAGAGAAATGTGGTGACAGAAATCACATGTGATTCACTAAGCAAAAAATGTCATGGTTTGAGCCTGGCACAGAGCCAGTGCCCCCATGAAAATGCCCTCACCCTGGTGTCTGCTGTGAGATGTGACCAGGAATAAGCAAAACAGGCTTTAGCTTAAACATAAAGAACACTTTATTACCTAAACTACAGGGAAATAGGGAAAAACTA